CAGGCCCGCTGGCACTCACCAATCAGCTTCAGCTCCTGGTCGAGCCGAGACTTCTCGAAGGGTCTCCGCGGGGTGACATAGGTCTTCCGACAAACCCAGCTCCGTGCGACCGGCATGCTGGCTCCGCTGGCTCGTGTGCGCCTGCGCGAGAGCCGGGAACGTGAGTAACCCCGACGGCGCCTGCGCAGTCCTACCACGCGCACACCCTATAAGAGCCGAGCGCCTCGTGGCGCCCCGAGTAAAACTCAGCCCCCACAACTCGGCCGCCCTCCTCTCTAGCCACCCTCTTCTCGCTCCCAGGTTCTCTCTCTAATGAGTAAAGTTCGAAAATACAAGTCCCTCCGAAGCAGCCCAGACCGACAACTCACCTGAGTACCGGCCCCCGTGGCAAAAAATAGAGGCGCGCGCGTCGCTCAGCCGCGCTCTTATAGGAACGACGCTGCTGCGTGACGTCAGCACGCTCGGCACACGGCTGCGCCAATCAGAAGAGGCGTTGGCGGGCGGAAAGGCAGTAGAGATGCGAGGGTGGGCTAGAGCGGCTTGGCTGCCTGGGCCGGAAATGTTCTTCCTAACGCAGGGTGGGAAGGCGGAGGACCGCAGGAGTGGGGCAACGCTTTCAGGGTCTGTCCCTGGTTGTCCTTGTGGAGCGGTTCCTAGTAAGGCAAACATTTTAGCTATGTGTATACCTAAGAAACCAGATGACAATATTTTCAGCACCCTGGAGCGTTCCCTCGTACTCCTTTCCAGTCAAAACTCAAAAAACAATTAAACCTCTGCGATGGAGCCCATTCCGACTCAGTGACCCAGAGGTGCCAATCTTCGGTCCTCTATGATATTATATATTAATATATATAATATGATGTATTACCATTATATGGCATTAATATATATGACTATGAAAATTATCGGGTGCGTGTTAAATGCAACGATACATACATGTATGTATGTACATATATATATGTTTTAATGTCATTCACACTAGCCTTAGTGCAAGAGATCAGGGTAAGGACCTGCCTCTGAGTCGCGGTATAAATGTTGGAATAATTAGCTCCACATTGAATTCCTGTCTCCCTCTGAGAAATAGGTTGGGGCTTCAGGAACTCAGAGCTCCATCCAGCTCAGATGTCCCATTGAGTCTATGAGCAAGAATCCTCCTACCTGGAATGTCAGCCTGAAGCCTCCCCAAAAGTTGGTCCTCTTGAACCCCGGCTGCCTACCTGCGTAGGGAGTGGGTGCGGAAGCCAGGGATTAATCGAAATTTCACTTCAGCGATTTGCCTGCGGAATCACAGCTCACCTTTCCATCTTAGTCTCACCCCAGTCTTGCTTTCCTTTTGGAATGATGGTGATGGTGATAAATATATAGGTAGCAAAACAGCTCCTTTCCCAGTTCCACAATCCTCACATGTGCCATTCAGTGGCATGACGACCTACTCAGCATGCTCGTTCATTGAAGACAAAGGTTGCGGGAAGTTTGGCAGAAAGCCTGCCATGCCTGGAATCATTTGTCACCTTGTGTCTTTTTTGCTACCTCTAACAGTTGATTTAAAAAAAATTTATCTTCTTCAATGTGCACCTTATTCATTCATCCATTTATGCAGCAAACTTAATCATCACCACAAGGAACCAGTCTTCTAAATCGTGGGCTATTGTTGACACTCGAGTTATTAAACGTCGACATGCGTAACCAAGTGCACATCATTACATTGTCTATAAATGGTCTCCGGTGCAGTCTTCGAAACCTGTCTCTGTGGACTGAGCACATCCCGAAACAAGCTCTGATCTGCCCCTAAAAAGTGTTCCTCGCTCTGGGCTCTGTAGCTAAGAGATATTCCCATCAGTCCCCTAATCCAGGAGTGAAAACGCTTCATCATCCTCACTTACTGCCCCCCACCTTTCCATTAGTATTCCAGATGTGTCCATTTTATCTCATTCCTGCTTCTCCCTGTCCCCTCAGGTCAGGATTCAGTTTAGGCTCATGGCTTCCCTCTGGGACCACAGCATCAGCTTCCTCCCTGGCTCCACCTTCACCTCTGCACAGCCTCTTCTTCCCTCCACCAGACAGACTGACAGGTAGATAAAGGGGTGTGCATTTTATTCAGACACATGGCTACTTCCTATGTTACGGAGTAAAACTGCTGCTCCAGAAGGACTTCTTGGCTGTAATATTCATGGCAGCACAGGGCCAATCGATGGGTTCAAACTGCCAGCCTTTTGGTTAATAATTGGCTGCTAACTACAAAGTCAGCACTTCAAACCCACCAAGTGCACCGTGACAGAAAGCTGAGGCTTTCTGCTCCCATAATGATTTACAGCCGCAGAACCTCACAGGAGCGCCCAGGGGCTGGGAAGGACGTCGGACTGGAAACCTGGGACAGTCATCCGAATTCTGGCATTTGGGGGCACGGTTCCAGGGTCCTGAAGGAGGTTGGACAAGGGCAGCAGTGCTGATTGGGGCACAGCCCCCCTTCCTGGAATTTCAACCGAATGGAAAGCCAGAGAGGCAGGCATGTATTTCTTTTCTCTAAAACGAACCAAACCGATGGTGAAGAAGCGGACAAACTTCATGCTGATGTCGAGTCCGGTCGGTGGCCCTGTTTGAGCTGATTCTTCTGGCCGGCTGCCCTCACTCCTGGACCCCAGGAGGAATCAGCTCAGAAGGCAGCAGCGCTGCATCGAGACCCCAGGCGCGTGCGCTCTTCCTTAAAGAATGCTGCACCCTCTGATAGACCTCATGAAAACAGCAGTTTGGGCGTCCTCGCACTCAAATGATGCGCCTTTTCCATGTTCTTTGAGTTTTGGGAACAAGAAGAAGTCTAAGGGGCCAGATTGGGGATGCAGGCTGGATAGGAAAATGCATCAAGAGGACCCCTTGGCAATCCTCAACAGTCACCGCCCCCTTCTGAGCTGACCTTCGACCATGAACAGAACTGGCCAGCAGATCCTCACAGAAGCCACGGTTTCCATTGGACCTTTTTTCGAAGGCCCTTTCGTGACACTAAGACTAGTCTTAGTGCATTACCGACAGAACTTGTCTGCAGCCATTCAGTGACCCGTTTTTGGTTCAGACTCATAGAAGCCCTGTGTACAACAGAGCGAAACACCGCCTAGTCCTGGGCTCGCCTCCTGATCATGTCTGAGGCCATTGCTGCAGCTACTGTGTCAGTCCGTCTGCCCAGTGTCTCCTTTTCTTCACTGGCCTTTCACGTTACCAAGCATGACGTCCTTGTCCAGGGGCTGAGTTGAAGTCCTAGAGGGTTTACATTGTAAGACATGAAAAAATAATGCTTTATAAATTATCAGGGGTTCGTGAGGGAGGGATGGGCAGGAAGGGGGAAAATGAGCTGATCCCAAGGGCTCAAGTAGAAAGAAAATGCTTTGAAAATGATGATGGCAACAAGTGTACAAATGTGCTTGACACAGTGGATGGATGGATGGATTGTGATGAGCTGATGAGCCCCCAATAAAATGATTTAAAAGAATCTCACAGGAGCAGTTGAACTCTTCTGTCACTACGAAGCACAATTGCCTTAATGGCAGCGTATGCACCTTTTTGTTTGGAAGGAGGGAAGGGGAATCTTTGCTTCAGATTCTGATTTCCTATCCGGGTGATGAAACAAGGCCAAAGGGCCTTGTGGCTGAGGACTAGACAAAAGTGTATCTGTAGACTTGGCTGAGAAGAAGCTATCAGAGAACTGTCTCCTAAGCATTTCTACTCCTGAACTGTAACCTGTGAAGTGCCCTACTAAGGCCCAGAATCATGAAAATGATCTGTGAGTTGTGTGTGGCCATAGCAGTCAATTACTGAACCCAGCAGAAATACAGTGTGCTGTGGATGGGGTGGCTGGTGTCAGAACTGTCAAGAAGGTTGGAGGGTGGAGGCATGAACAACCTCCGCTTCATAGGAATCGGCCTTTGACTGATGTTGACTCTGTTTCTCCTTCATGGCAACCCCGTGTACAATGGGATTGGACCATTGTAATTCGTAGGATTGGCTGATTTTCCAGAATTAGATCTCCGAGGCCTTTCTTCCTAGCCTGGAAGTTCTACTGGCAACCCTTCCGCATCCCAGGAGCACACAGGTCTCCAAGGTGGTGTCTGCCTTTGAGATGCACTGGCCTGGGATTGAACCAGGTCTCCTGCACAGAAGGCGAGCATTTCCCCCAAGAATTCAAGCCAGGCTTGCCATGTATGCAGTAAGTTTATTGAGACTTCCCGGGAGCTGGGCCCTGTGGAGAGAGTCCTGGAGCGCAAGGAGCGGCCAGCGGACGAGACCAACTGCTGGAAAAAGGTCACTACAAAAAGGATGCTGCCAGCAAGTGCTCTGGGACAGGGAGGGCTATCGGGTGTAGTGCTTAAAGAACTGGAGTCCCAAATCTAACCGGGGAGCGAGGTAGGAGGGTGCTCTAGCTGGCCACGCTTGGCGACGTCCCGGCTACCTCTTGCTGCAGGCAGAGCCGCCTGTCATTGGCCCTCGGCTCACTGCAGGCTGGCCCACTGCAGGGAGGTGTACACCACCTTCCCGTCCGGCTGCGGGGAACACAGCAGCAGGGTCTTTCTGACACTGGTTCCGAGGCGGCCGGCTGAGACCAGGTCCTGGAGTGGGATGGAGTCCCCAGCCGCCCAGCACTGCGCGATGTAGTGGGCGTGGAAACGGAGCGGATCACCTAGGTGAGAGAGAGAGAGAGAGAGAGACAGGCTCACAGCCAAAAGGTCCGGCTTGAAGGATTGTGGACACAGCCACCGGCTGTAGACCGGAAAGCGTCTGGGGAATGGCTATCGCACGTGGTGCGATCAGGAGGGACCGGTCAGTCCCTGGTGAAGGCCTTCGGGCCTGGGAGGGCCCGTGAGAAAGAAGCCCCTCAGAGGGATGAGTGGACACAGTGGCAGCATGAACAGTGGTGAGGGTGCTGTTTCTTCCATTCTGCAAAGGGGCTACAGGAGTGGGGACAGGCTTGGTGGTACCCAACAGCAGCATCAAGCTTTTCAAACCGACCCTGTCGAGCCCAGGGACTCCCCCTCAAGGCATCTGTCTCCTCTGCCCTTTTTGCTGTCAGGTCTGTTCCCTGGGGGTTTGTAAGCCTGTGACCTTTCAGATGGCCAGGCCTTTCCTCTGGGTGGGTGTGGGAAACACCCCAGGGTGTCCCCCCCCCAACATAATTTATGCCAAACCTAAGGTGCCCTTTGCAAACACTGACTATACACTTGGGAGATCAACTGCTTAAAGGTTATCTGCCTGAAGGTTGTCACCCATCGAAGGTCGTCAGGCCCTAAAGTCTGTCCCACCCTAAGTGGGGCTCAGTCCCTTCTGATAAGGATAATGGATGGTCCAAGGTCAACCCAACTCAGGACCAAGGTCAGGCTGCCGTCTTGACTCTAGAGTCCGCCCATCTTGTCACATGTATACCCTTGGTGCCTCCCCTTCCTATTGCATGTACACCCCTAGCTCGTCCCCCTCCTGTCGCATGCATGCCTATGGGACAAGCCCTTCCTGCTATGATGTAATTAGGGTGGCTTGCACATCCCTATAATATAAGCCTTGGTTGGCAATATCTCCGCTCTCTGCACGGATCTGGCTGCTGAGATCATGGCAGTCCTGGAGGTGAGTGCTCGCGTGCGTTATCTTGTGTGATAGCTCTAATTTTACCCCTCAATGACACAACCGTTCGATTGTGGGGGCTGGTACCCCACAGTACACCCACAGGGCAGCCAGGTAAGTCCACCTCCAAAGCTATGCTATAGGACAGAGAATTGTCCCCTAGGGTTTCCAAGGCTGTCTGTCATCTTAGTGGAAGCCAACTGCCACGTCTTTCTTCCACGGAACCGCTGGTGGCTTATACCACAGACCCTGTGGTTAGCTGCCCAGCGCATTACCAGGGCGCCTCCTGCCACGTGTAGAGTCTTATTTCTCAAAGGCGCTAAGTGGCCACATTTGTTGCTGTCCTAGCCCGTGAACCCAGAGCGCAAACTCAGTCCACATCACGAGGAGCTCCGAGGACGGGCAGGGGCCCACCTAATGAGAATGGCCCTACCCGGCTCCCAAATGGGTACGTGCCGTAGGAGGGAGCAGTCCACAGATGGGGTACTCGGCCCACAGACGTTTTCTGAACAGGGCCAGAGGGGACAGTCTCAGCTGGTGGCCCACGCACGCAGCAAAGGCAGGCCGGGCCAGGCCGGCCGCGGCAGAATCATGGGCTGCCGGCCGCGGCAAGGAGGATGCGAGTGTTGCAATAGAGGGCGTCTAGGGGACGTTTCGGCTCCCTAGTGCACAGGCGCGCGATGCTGACACGAGACAGGTAAGTGATATGTGATCAACGGCATGGTGGGAAGCTTCGAAAGGCCCGTGACAGTGACCCAAGTGTGACAGGAAGGTGCTCACAACGTGTGAGTTCACCACCAGAGAAAAACAATTTTAACAGTGGAAGACTCCCTGCCATCAGGGCGATTCAGACTCACAGCAGCGACCCCGGAGGACCCTGGAGAGGTCCTCTGCTCCACCGGGTTTCCAAGACGGCAAACTAAGTGGCACGTGGATTCAAACCACTGCCCTGGTGAGCACTTTAGTCACTGCGCCATCAGGTCAGGGCACCTTTGCAAAATGACCCAACTGCCTTCTTGGTAAGCTTGGGCTGCCAAGCGGTTCCAGCCCCTTCGGGGGTGGCGTGGGGGGGTTCACAGGCTAAGTAGAGATGAGGCAAAAAGACGATGAGATCTAAAACGCGTGTGGGATTGAGAAGGATCCAGGAGCATGAGGGGGTGGGTCCCTGTGGAGTTACAAAGATCTCCTGTCAATTTGCGAAGGGGTGGAGTCTAGCCTGTCAGTCAGGTCGCAGCTTGATGACCTCATTTGGGAGGTGCAAACTGAGATAAATAGTTCACTAGAGGCCAGATACACGTTCACTCTCTGCAAGACATTCCTGTTGACAAGACATACGGATCTGCGCTGATAGAGACAGAGCCCTGGAGCTGGAGGAGCCACTTGGAGACCCCTGCCAGTGCTCAGATGTTTCAACCACCACTAGATCCACAAGACTTTCCACCCACTGGCCTGGGAACCTCCTGCACTCACGTCATTGTGTTGTCTGAGTCTGAAGAGGAATTTATAGACTGGTATCCCACATATGGGCTAATACAGGGCTTATGGACTTGATCTGGACTGGGCTGGGATGGCTTCTCAATATACAATTACTCTTTGACATAAAGCTCTTTCCTATACATATAAGAGTCTCCCTGAATTTGTTTCTCTAATCGACCCAGACTAACACAGTCCCCAGCCCAAACTCACCAGGATAGACCAGGAAGTCGCCCCCAAACTTGCCGGCAGCGCTGAGGAAGAAGCCTCGCTCCCACAGGTCTCTGTAGACGCTGTAGCGCAGCTCGTGGGCAGGGCGGCCCGCGTGGGGCCAGTCTTTGGATTGGATGCGCCAGTCCAGGGGACGAGCCTTGGCAGGTCGAGGCCTGGCCGTGGCCAACTGGACGAGCAGAGCTGACCTGGGCAGGGAGGTGGGCCCGTCTGAAGGCCCTGGTTGGGAAGACGAGGGGCCTGGGTTTGATGCAGAGAAGAGAGAGCCTGGTGACTCCAAGGGGCCAGGTCTTCTGACCCCTGGAGGACCAGGCCCTGGATTGCCCAGTGAGATTCCCACAAGGTCTCTCTTGGGCCCCTGTCCACTGGTCCTGGGCCTCCACCCACACCCTCACCTGCTGCCGTCTCCTCCTCCCTGGCTGGTTGGCTGGCCCTGGCTTCACTCTCCCCTGCAGTGGGGCTCCCCAGGGCTGCTGGATCCTGTTCTAGCTTCTGCTTCTTGGCCGCCTGGCCTTCTGTGATCTTCTCCAGGAGCTCCCGACGGCGGGCCTCCCGGGCCTCCGCTGCCAAGGCACTCTGATCCCGGAGATCTTGCTCCTGCTGCTGCTTGAAGGAAGCCAGCGCCTGAGGACGAGAATTCAGCTGCAAGTCCCGGTCTCCGGCTGGACCTTCCGTTCCCACAGGCCCCCAGGAGCCGGGCATTCTGATTCCTGGCCCCTCCTACTACAAGAACCGGCTGGCCAGGCCTCAACCCCTACCCCAACAGTAATCTACAATCCCACCACAGGAACCGCGGCCCAGGCTCCCAGCCCACCCATCCCCCTTCTCAGGAACCCCAACACTGGGCTTCCAGTGCCTCTTCCAAAAGGAATCGAGAATCCGGGGTTCCCCAGCCTCCCCACCACAGCGACCCCGAGTTTGGGACTCCCAGTTTCTTCTTTTTCAGGGACCCTGAGTCCCGTACAGCCAGCCCTCCTCCCATCACAGGGACTTCGAGCGCAGGAGCAGGGACCCTGAGACTGGGGCTCCCGGACCCCGAGTCCGGGATTCCCACACCTCCCACTGCAGGGACCCCGAGTCCGGGCCTCTCTCCCATTGGAGAGACCTCAAAATCGCGACTGCCAGCCCTCTCACAGTAGGGACCCCACACCTACTCCCTTACCAGGCTGTGGTTGCGGGGATCCGGGTGCGGCACGCTGACCAGGGTTACGGCGCCGATCTCGGCCAGCAGCCGCGCCTCCTCAGGCATCAGCAGCAGCGGGAGGCCCAGGCGCGAGTTCTGGCGGGGTCCACGGGGCAGGGCACCCACCGCGCGACCCCCCACGCCCAGGCGCTCCCGCAGCGCCTGCACCGCCTCGGCCCCCCACACCAGGGAACGGCCATTCGCCACCTCCACCACCAGCATCCTCCTGCAGAGCAGAGAAGCGGTCACCAACCCGCTCGAGGCTCCCACTGGCCTCCCCTCGCCGCTGTCTCCCAGGCCAGGCGGAGCCCCGCCCCTGGGCCTCGGGGGCGGAGCCTCGCTTGCAGCCGGGGGCCACCTGTTGAGGCGGAGGACCAGGCCCCGCCCCTAATGCCTTCGGGCGTTCTAGGAGGAGTTCCGGTCCTAGGAGGCCGAGGCCCCGCCCCCCGGATGCTTTCGGGTCACCTCGCCAAACTTCAGGGTGTTCAGAAACTGAGTCCCCGAACCCCGCCAACACCTTCGAGAGGCCAAGACACCCCGTGGTCTTGGGCCATCCTGCAAACCTTCGGGCTATTAGAGATGGAAACCTCCACCCCTTCACCGGCGAAACGCCTTTGGGCCATCTTGCCAAACTTCAGCTGGTAGAAACAAAACCCCTACCCCAAGAACCCCTTGCCTTCGGGCGGTGCCAGAGGAGTTCGGAGACCCAGGCCCCATACCTCCGGAGACTCCAAGCGGGATCCCTTGAGACCCTCAGTTAACACTCCCCGGCCTTTTCCTACACTGATGCACAGCTCCGCCAGCCTGAACGCACCCCGTTTCCCAAAGCAGACGACACCCCCCTAGATGAACCCCACAGGCGAGGGCCCTTCTGAGGTCAAGGTCCGGCACACTCCGAAGGCCAGCCCTTCCCCGCACCGAAGGTCACAAGGTCTCCACCCCCGCCCCCCCAATCAGAATAACCAGCTGTCAGCAAGAGGACCCCAAGTGTATCAGAGAACTGTGCTCCATGGGATTTTCGTTAGAAACATTGCCAGGTCTTTCTGCCGCGCCACCGTTGGGAGGACTTGAACCTCGAACTTTTTGGGCAGCTCAGCACATTCTGAAATTCACCACCTGGGAACCCGGAGCCGCACCTTCTTGGGGAGGCTCGGTACTTAGCTCCGCCCCTTGCCCCACGTTCCCAGTCCGGTTCGCACGGTGTGGAGTCCCGCCCCCACCCGAAAGCGAAGCATTGGTTCGCTCGAGGCGTCGCTCAGTCTAAAGCCCCGCCCATCCCGAAAGTTAGCGGTTTGTGCGTTCCGAGTCGTAGACTGGACGCCACAGTCCCGCCCCCTCCGAACGGAAGCGCCTCACGTTCGGGCGTTCTCGGCTCCGCTCGGCCAAATCCAGAGCCCCGCCCTCTCCGGACGCAAGCGGCCCCGCGTTCCGGAACTCTCAGCTCCACTTAATTCCCATCTCCGAAACGCTAGGGGTTCGGAGTTCGGGAGTTTCCGGCTTCCGTCCGTCCCACACCTTAAGGCTCCGCCCCTTCGGGTCGGAAGCGCTCCCCTAGTTCGGCCATTTCCGCCCAACAGCGAAACTAGATTCCGCGGCCCGGTCTCCCGCGCACGCCCTTAGTCCTCTGGTCGAACGTGCTCACCCGACTTGAGAGAGCTCAATGCGCGTTGCTTCCCTTCAGAATGCCTCAGCCTGCCACCTTCTAAACACCTACACGCAGCTCAGGCGGGACCACTCTACGTAGCGTGCCACCCACTGCTTTCTCCACCCCCGACCTTGTAGCCACCCCCCTCACACACACACACACACACACAGACGTCAATGTCCGCGAGCAGCCACCTCAGCGAAGCTAGAAGTCTGGCGTCGGGTCCCAAAAGGTGAGCCCCTATCCCTCCACAAAGCCCACCTTGGTCCCGCCCACTCATAAGCCCCGCCCGCCGCAATAGCGACACCGCTGTTGACTTGGAAACAGGAGGCTCCTTACCCTAGCCCCGCCCCATGTGCAGACCCGGGGCCACGCCCCCTTTGGCTCTGGACATTTTGAAAATTCCGCCTTGCAAGATGGCAAAGTGGTTAAGCGTTAGGCTTCGAACCTCAAGGTCATCAGTTCAAAACTACCAACGCTGTGCGGGGGACAGGCGGAACTTTCTACTCCCTATTAAGTATCGGAAACTCGCAGCGTCGCTGTAAGTCAGCATTGACTCAATGGCAGTGAGTTTGGTTTGGTTTGTGGGAATAAACCTACAGTCCCATCAAAAGTCCAAAAGTGCTCCCAGGAAGGAAGATATGGCAGTCTACTCTGTAAATATTACAACCTTGGGGACACGATGGGGCAGCTATAGTCTGGCGCAGAACATGACTACCGAAATGGTTTTGGTTTTTTTTTTTGGTTTGGTGGCCTTCCTCTAAACTGGTGGCTCCGTCTATCTGTAAACCTGAGTCACGTGGGCTCGACCATCTCCGAAGAAAGCCGAAGCATATCGCCCCGCCTTCACCCAAGCCGAATGCCTCAGTTCCCGACTATCCCCGAAGTCAGCTGAAGCTTGCGGCCCGTATCCGAATTGAGCTGACGTCCCCGACAATAGCCGAAAAAAGCCGAAGCTTGTGGCCCCGCCTCCGAACTGAGAGCTCCAGCCCCGACTCTGCCCGGAAGAATCCGAAGCGGTCGGCCCTGCCTCTTTCCGAACGCCCAACTCCAAGCCCCGCCTCTCCCCTCCCCGTCAGTCCCCCTTCCCTGCGAACCGAAGGCTCCGGCCCCGCCTCTTCCCGCCTGGAACCCCGCCCCCTACGTGCCCGCGGTCTGCGTCCCCGCTCTGTAGATCCCGGACCGCGGGTCCAGCGGCGGACTCGCACTCCCAGGGGACTCCTTCCCTGCTCCGCACGGAGCCCTGACGGTGTCCGCGCGCCTGGCCCCCCCCGAGAGCGGAGGCGGGGGCCTGCGGGGCGTGGGAGGCGTGGCCCGAGCTGCTGGACCCCGCGGGCTGGGGACTGATCGGCCGCCTCCTGCCGGCGCGGCGCAGAGTCGCGGGCCCAGGTGGGTCGGGACGCCGGGACAAGCGTGGGGTCCAGAGGGTGGGGAGGGAGTGTTGTGGATCCACGGGGTTCCGGGGTGCAGAACAGCCCCGGGAGCGCGGCCGAGCACAGGGGTGTCGTAACCGCCTGTGGCTTTGCGGGGGCCGGGACCTGTTGGGGCTGTTGGTGCTCGCTCATTGGGGTGCAGCTAGGAGAGAGAGGCCAGGGTCGCCAAAAAAGAGATGGACAGGAAGCTTGGTAGACGGGGCTTGGTGACCAGTTGCGTGGGTTCTCAAAGAGGGAGGGACTGGGAGTTCAAAAGCGGGGGGCGGGGGTGGGGGTGGGGTCCAGATTCCTGGAACCTGGAAGATGGAGGGGCTGGAAACTCGTGGCGCTCTAAAGGTGGGGTGGTTGTTTCTGGTGTCTCAAAAGAGGGGGAATCCAGAAACCTAATTTCCGTGGGGGAGGGGCTGCCCCTATGAGAAGGTAGGGGTGTGTGGGAGCGGGAATCCCAATTGCAGGCAAGAGAGGGTGCTGGAAGCTTCTGAGGAGGAGGAGACAGGAGGAATGCCCTCTTCGGGTCCAGAACTGGGGTCTGGTGGATACCTGGGTGCTCAGATGGGCGGGGGGTTCAAAACAGGGTCCAGAACGCAGAAGGGGGACTGCCAGGGCTGGATTCCTCAGCTCTCAAAGGGGAAGAGGGAGGCCAGGAGAGAGGTTGTCTCTGGATTCCCATGGAAGGGGGAGTCTAAAACCGGGTCATCCATGTGGGGGGCAAGCATGGGGAGTCTAGACATGGCTTCTAGACCCAAAGGAGCAAGCGGGCTGGGCCCCGGATTTCAGCATCCCTGAAGGAGGAGGGGTTTAGATGCCTGAGGTTCTTCTCAAAAGAGAGGCGCTGAGGGTGCCATATAGAACCCTTGAAAATGCCCACCTGGGGAGCTGGCTTCCTGGGTTCTTGAAGAGGGAAGCACCCCGCCCCATCCCCCCACCCAGCCCTTGATTGCACTTGCGGGTTCTCACTGCCTTCCCCAACCCCCCCAGACCATGTCGCCTGAAGAGTGGACCTATCTAGTGGTTCTTCTTATCTCCATCCCCATCGGCTTCCTCTTTAAGAAAGCTGGTGAGTCAAGTTCCCTCCCCCAGTGGAAAATAAGGGAGGGGCTGGGTGGGGCAGGGCATAGTGTGGGGCACTGAGGGGGGGGGTGTCCCCTGGAAGATTCCAGGCTTAGGCTGTCTTTTCTCCCTCCTGCAGGACCCGGTCTGAAGCGATGGGGGGCAGCGGCTGTGGGCCTGGGGCTCACCTTGTTCACCTGCGGACCTCACAGCTTGCATTCTTTGGTCACCATCCTCGGGACCTGGGCCCTTATTCAGGCCCAACCCTGGTGAGAGCTGGCCCGGCAGGGGACAACTCAAGCCGGTGTCCCTGTTTCATCTGCTCTTCATCCTCTCCTGCGTTTTTTCTGTGTCCTGCCCCCCCGCCCCCTGCAGTCAGTTAGGCGGTTGGCTTCTAACCACTAGGTTGGCTGTTCAAACCCACTAGCAGCTCCACAGAGGAAAAGATGAGGCAGTCTGCTCCTATAAGGAGAGTTACAGCCTTGTCCACCCTATGGGGCTGTTCTACCCTGTGCTATAGGGTTGTCATGAGTTGAATTAGACCCGATGGCAGTGGGTCTGGTCTTTTTGGGGGGAGACAAGGGGGTCCCAGTCCTCATCATCCCTATGTTTGAGGGGATACTCCATCATCCCTGTTCATATCCATCCTGTCTCTACGTCTCTGTTTTTGTGTATCTCTGTCTCTGTGTGTTTCCCAGTCTTTCTTTATATCTGTTTATTTTATTTTTAATTTTATTAATTCAGATTTAATACATATAATATATGATTCCACACTTGAACCACATCAAGTAGAATTGCACAATTGCAACCACCGTTTCCAAACATTCTTTTTCTGTGTGGACGCCTTGACATCGTCTCCCTTTCACCACACCACCTCCTTGTCCCCCTGGTTCCCCGAACCCCTTATTCTACTTGCTGTCCCTATAGGTTCATCAGTCCTGGGTTTCATATATCCCCAAGCAGAAAAGCATGTAACACCTCCAATGACAACACCTCCGAGATTACACCCTAATATAAAACCCCAAAATATAGAAACATTTGGAAACCAGATCAGGTCCAGCCAGCGTCCTAGTGGGGACCTGCTGGCAAAGTTTTAACGGTAAAAGCCAGATTTCTGCCTTTGATCTTCTGTTTTGCTGTCTCTGTCTCTCACTCTATGTTTGTACAGTGTCTGTTTCTCCAGATTTGTGTCTCTGTTTCTGTGCCCTCCCCCCCCATCATGAAGGTCAAACTAAACCAAAGACTAAACGGCCTTCCCCAGAACTTTCACTCAACCCCTTCCCCTCATCTTCTGCCCTTTCCTCTCCCCCGCCTCCCAATCTCTTCCACAGCCCCATCTGTCCCGCCCATTGCGTCCCAACGCTCCGCCCATCTCTCGCTTTCTCTCCAGGGGAGGGCGGGGCTGCAGGTTGGTGTACAGCTGGACCTGGTAGGCAGGGGAGGTCCAGGCTGAAGCCCTTCCCTTCTCTGCCGCAGCTCCTGCCACGCCCTAGCTCTGGCCTGGACCTTCTCCTATCTCCTCTTCTTCCGTGCCCTCAGCCTGCTGGGCCTGCCCACGCCCACGCCCTTCACCAACGCCGTCCAGCTGCTGCTCACGCTCAAGGTGCGTCAGTTGGGGCCTGCCCCTCCCACTGGGGCCCCGATAAGGGCCCTAACTAACCTCCAACTGGGCAGGGGTTTCTGGGTTCACTTCTACCCCCTTGGGTGGGGGCGGAGCTTCTCTTCTAGATTACGGAAGGGGGTGGGACTTGCCCTCAGGCCACCCAGGGTGGAACTACACCTTTCAGGCACCTTTATAAAAGTCTTTGCCTTTGCGGGTCCCTAGTCCTAGGGGAGTAACAGCAGGTGTCAGAGGCGGGGCCGGGTGCTATCCCAGCCTCGTTCACCCTTGTTGTTGGGGTTGTCAGTTATGGTCTCCAGCATTGTGACTCCTGGAGACACCCTCTCCTTCCCCCAACCCCCCTCTGCACAGAGCTGTGCCCTGGAGGTGGTGGCCTTTCAGAAGCAGGTTGCCAGGCCCACTTCTGTGGCACCTCTGGGTGGTTCGAACCACAAATCTCTCAGTCAGTGGTTGAATGCTTACCTACCTGCCCTTCAGCTTACCTACCATCCTACAGAGTTTGGAAACATTGGGTTCAGGGCACAGAGGCTCTAAGCACCTGGCAGGGCCCTGAGACTGTGAGTGACAGCAGATTCTCAGGCCTTCATACCTACCAAGCCACAAATGAGCTCCTACTGTGTGCTGAGCACCTACCAAAGCACGAATGAGCTTCTGTGTTCTTGGCACCTGCCAGGCCATGAATGAGCTCCTACTGTGTGCTGGGCACCTATCAAGTCACGAATGAGTTCCTACTATGTGCTGGGCACCTACCAGGCTATGAATGAGCACCTACTGTGTGCTGGGCACCTATCAAGCCACGAATGAGTTCCTACTGTGTGCTGGGCACCTATCAAGCCACGAATGAGTTCTTACTATATGTGAAGCACCTATCAAGCCAGGAGTTCCACTCTGCTACACACCTACCAAGCGGTGAGCTCCTACCTGTGTGCAAGGGAGAGGGCCAGCCTGCGAGGTCAGCAGCAGTCTCTTCAGGCCTTGCCCTTCAGGGAGGATCTCACAGAGTAAAGCTGTGCTCCACCGAGGCAGCAGCCCGGGCCATTTCGGAAGCAAGCCTGTCTCCTGAGCTGCCCTGGGTGGGTTCAAACCGTCAGGCTTATGGCTGGTGGTCAAGGGCTTAGCCATTTACACCACCCAGGGACTTCTGTCGCTAAGGAAGGGGCTAAAACTGTAAAAACCAAACTAAACTTACTGCCATTGGGCTGATTGATTCCAACTCCAAGAGACCCTATGTCAGATCCAAAGCAGGCTGGAGATCCGGAACAGAGCTCACCCTCACATCCCCTGCCAGCCTCAGGGATCAGAAATGCAACCAGTGTGACCCTGAACCACAACAAAAAGAATTATGTACACATTGAAAAAAATTAAGTAAATGGGGTGGCGGGGGGAATAAGAGACCCTATAGGACGGGGTAGAACTACCCCTCTATTTTTCCGAGGCTGTAACTCTTTACAAGAGTAGAAAGCCTTGTCTTTCTCCCGAGAAGCAGCTGGTGGTTTCCAAGAGCTGGCCTTGGGGTGACCAGCCCACCTGGTAACCCACTGTACCCCAAGGATGCCTAAGAAATCAAATACAAAGAGGGGAGGGAGCTGCCTTTTTCCATTGTGATAGGTGAGCCCACGTGACAGCCATTGTCGATCCGTCTCCTTGAGGATCTTCCTCACTGTCACCGACCCTCTAGTTCACCAAGCATGGCGGCCTTCTCCACGTCCCTCCTGACCACACGTCCAGAGTATGTGAAGCCAAGTCTCTATCCTGGTCTCTAAGGAGCGCTCTGGCCGGACTTCTTCCAGGACAGATTTGTTGGTTCCTCCGGCAGTCCGTGGTCTAAGCAGTATTCTTCCCCAAGCCCTCCACAGACACGTGTGCAAATAGACAGGAATCCAAGACGTCTGACTTGCCCTTTCATTGCTTCCACTCCGGCCCCCATAGGGTCACCTTGACTCACTGTCCACTGTGGTAGAGGCGGGTGGGTGTGGGTTTGGGATTTAGGGGAGGCTCTGGCCCAGGGCACCTCCTTGGGTGGCGGTGGCAGCTCTTGAGGAGAGACGCTAGAAGAGGATTCGCTGGGAGAGGATGGTGATGTGTTTCATCATGTCAAACCTAAAGTGCCTGGCAAATATCCAAAGGAGCCCTGTGGTCAACCGCCAAAGAGTTCTTGGTTGGAACTCATCCACCTTTCCACGGGAGAAAGGAGACCAAGGTTTACTGCCTCCAGAGCCTTTGGGGGGCATTTCTCTTCTGTCCTACTGGGTCGCTGTGAGGTTGGATTGACTTGAGGGCAATGGGTGTGTGGGTGGGGTTCGGGGTATGTACCCGAAAGAAGGGCAGTGAGCAGCTGGACGACTGGGTCAGGACCTGAGCTGGGGTGAGGGCCAGACGGGGGGAGCGGTTTGAGAGTGACCCGCCAGTATGTGATGATTTCCCTGAGGAGGGAAAGAGCCCTGGGAATAACCGCCCCCCAGAGGCACGGAGAAGCCATGACACCTGGTCCAGTTAACACTGCAGAGGGGGGGCGTCCTGCCCACTCACCCAGAGGCCCCTCGGAAGAAAGGCCTGGCAATGCGCTTGCCCCAGAACCAGCCGTTGGAAACCCTGGACCTCCAAACCTACCGATCCCCGAGACTCCCGGAACGCGCAGCCAGAAAGCTCCTGACCCAGAGCTCTTTTAAGTGCTGTCACCACGGGGTGCCCTTGACAACAGGCTACAAGGGAGGGAGAGAACAAGAAAGGGGTGGGGAGTGTGCGGATGGGCACACCATCCCGAGGGAAGACGTAGTCGGTGTGACTGCACGGCCTATTGGAACTGTTGGCCCTGCGGTTATCTCTGGCTGGTGGGCCCTCCGCAGCCACGGGCACAGGTAAGTGGGAAAAAGAAAGCTCTCCGGGGCACAGTTCGATCCCGGGGCGCACGGCCGTCGTGAATCGGGATCCACTCAAGGGAATGGGTTGCTCCAGAGTTTTTGCGATTCTAGAGCCAGAGGCGGGCTTGGTGTGTGGGCTGAGCCCCATCCCCACCACCCCGCGGGAAACCTCTGATGTGAAAGATTCAGAAGGAGCCCTCGTGGCCCAGTGGGGTACTGCGGTGGACCGCTCACCGCAGGGTCAGCAGTTCGAAACCCCTCTGCGGGAGAAAGGCAAGGCTTTCGACCCCTGCAAAGAATGATAGCCCTGGGAACGCAGCGGGGCAGTTCTATTCCGCCCCGTGGGATCGCGCACTATGAGTTGGCAGGGAGTTTGCGTCTTCGCAATGGTTTGTGATAAGCGAGTGATGGGCATCCAAACATCGGTCTTAGTATGGCTGTGTTACGTTAAAGATGTTTGCATGTAGCTAAAACTTTTCTCCACCGGGTTGTCTAGACGTTGACAGGCACTGGTCAACGTTCCATACCAGCCTCACCTAATGGTTCCAACTTAGGTACAATTTCAACTTACAGACAGATTTGTGCTGGGACTTGCTTATAACCCCAGGGGGGCCTGCCTGTACAGATAAAATCCCCAGCTTGCCCGTGTCCACCGGCCCCAGGGGCTGCTGGGAGTGTGAGCTGAAGGGAGGTTGGTCATTCGACCAGCTTGAGGAAGGGCCCAGCATCTGACCTTGGCTCCCACATTTCCCTCTCCCACGCCCCGTCCTCTTAGCTGGTGAGTCTGGCCAGTGAGGTACAGGACCTCCACCTGGCCCAGAGGAAGGAGATGGCAGTGGGTTTCAGCAAGGGCCCCACCCTGGGGCTGCACCCTGACGTACCCTCGCTTATGGAGACACTCAGCTACAGCTACTGCTACGTGGGAATCATGACAGGTGAGCGAGCCCAGCCCCCTCTGGGCTGTCTGTCTGCTCTGTGCCTGTCCTCCCCCTGAGCACGGCTCCTCCCCTGTGTTCTCACCCGTCCTGCCTCACCTCTGCCCCAGAAACTGCTTCTCTGAAAGAGAAGACGTTAGTCCCTCTCACAACTCCACCAGGGAGGGGGCTGCTTTCCGCCCAGGCGTTCCCTGTACCCCTTAGAGATGTGCCAGGGTCAGACCGCCCGTCGGGTTTCCAAGGCTGTAACCTTTACAGCGTTGACTGTAGAGTTCAAGTACAATGAGAGGGGCAGTCAAGAAACCAAACATGTAGCACCAAGCAAACTTACTGCACAAAGACCTCTTGTTGGGGACCGGTTAGTCCAGGTTGACAAGAGAAACAAATTCAGACACTCAGAGCTTTATTTAAAACAGCAATTGTATATTGAGAAAACATCCCGGCCCAGTCCAGAGCTAATCCATATGTCCAATACTAGTCCATAAATTCCTCTTTAGACTCACACAGCACATGCAATGATGCTGAATGCAGGAAGATCACAGGCCAGTGGGTAGAAGGTCTTGTGGTTCCAATGGCAGTGGATCCATCTCAGCGCTGATGCAATTCTCCGTGTGTCTCCTCCAGCTCTCTGTCTCAACAGCATGAAAGGAAAGGCAGAGAGACTGGGTCTGCCCTCCCATGAGCTATTTATGGTATACAGTGAACCCTCGTTTAT